TGTGTGTGTGTGTGTGTGTGTGTGTGTGTGTGTGTGTGTGTGTGTGTGTAAATACACACGCACATATATATATATATACACACATATACATATATAAAGTATGTATGTGTGTGTGTGTGTATACACACACATGCTATTGACACAGAGATAATGTGAGAGCTGATGAGATGAATAAGATGTCTGGAGAGAACAGGGCTCACTCAAGTTGTTGACTTGGGAAATGGGAGGGTGGGAGTTGGATGTTGATCCAGCAATTTGAGAAGTGGTCAGATGGGTGAGATAGCAGTGTTAACCGAAGTCAAAAGAGGACTGTTGTTGTTTGTCCTTCGTTCTTGAAGAAGACTATGGGAGGTGATGCTGTGACTTGCATGTGAATTAGATTTAAGTGAGGCAGGACTGTGTAAAGTCACCAGCCTCACTTTCTCCTCTGGAGACATCTGAGCCCAGTGGCAAGATGTAGATCAGGACTACTGGAGATGTCAAAAAGAGGACGTAGCATCTCAGAGGAGGGAGGGAGTAGTCAGGATTTTCAACAACAGTATAAAGTCAAGGAGATTGAGGCCTGAGAAAAGGCCATTGGGTTGGAATGATCCTTGTTGACTTTGGTAAGAGCAGTTTTAGTCGAGAGGTTGGGTTGAAAGTTAGATTATGAGAGACATTGTATGTGAGGAAGGACACTGTTTCTCTGCTATGTTGTCTTGCTTTTGGCCTCCCTAGATGTAAGGGAATGGTGAAATCCAGGAGACTTGGCCCTTTCATTAGCTAGCTTTTTATCTTGAACAAACAATTTCCTCTCTTTGCCCTCAATTTCCTCATTTATAAAGTAAAAGGAATGAGTGAAATGATCTCCAAGGCGCTTGCTAACTTTGGATTCTTTGTCATCCAAGAAAATTTAGACTTTCAAAATTCAGCTTGAAAATCAGCTAATAGAATCGGTGGTACAAGCTACTGCCAAGGCCAGCCAGGTATTTAACACCTGGTGAAGTTTTGCTCTACTCCAGTGTCCAAAGTAGCTCCTCAAACGTGTTCTTAATCTACCTAGGAAGCATTAGAACAAGCTTATCAATATTACTCCTTATCTGTGTGGTCTTATCAACTGTGCCCATTGTAGCAAATAAGAAAAGTCCTGATAAGCAAGTGGTGGTGACTTATAATTATAAATTTTATTGATGCTTTTAAAAAATACACAGTCATTTCCCAGTATAACCTCACTCACATCAAACCTGCCCTGGTAAAGAAAAATTCTACCGAAACCAGTTGATGTAACAACTACCTCTGAAAGTATATACCGAATTCTGCACCCTTGATTTTGTTCCACTTTACTGAGGGAAGATGGTATCACCAAATTCATTAGGTAGGTTTCATCCTTTGTTCTTTAGGACTAAGATTGGTCATTATGATTTATCGTAATGGAATTATCTTTTAGTGTGACTTTCATTTACCATATTATAATAATTGAATATAGTGTTATCGTTCTGCTTAACTTGCTGTACAACAGTTCGTGTGAGTCTTCTCCTGTCAACATTTGTATACCATGATTTATTCAGCTATTCTTTGATGATGGGTGTTTACCTTTTTTTTTTTAATTTTTTTATTTTTTAAAGCAGCTAAGTGGCTCAGTGAATAGAATGCTGGGCCCAGAGTCAGGAACACTGGAATTCAAATAGGGCTATTGACACTTACTAGCTGTGTGACCCTGGGCAAGTCACTTAACCTTTGCCTCAGTTTCAACATCTGTAAAATGGGGATAATAATAGCACCTACCTCCCAGGGTTATTGTGAGGCTCAAATGAGGCAATAATTGTAAAGTGCTTAGCACATTGCCTGTGCAACTCCTGCTCTCAGAGAGCTCACAGGGTATTGAGGGAAGCCCTATGCAAACAGCTATATACTGACAAGAGATAAATACAGGATAAATTGGAGATAATCTCAGGGGGAAGGCACTGGCATTAGGAAAGATCTGGAGAAGCTTCATGTGGAAGGTGGAATTTTAGCTGAGACTTGAAGGAAGCCAGGAGGTGGAGATGAAGAGACAGAGAATTCCACACATGTGAGATACTTCATCTAACATCTTCACTCCATTTTACAGAGAAGGAAGATAAGACTCAGAATCCTTAAATGACTTGGCGAAGGTCACGGAGCTAGGAGCGTGATGCAGAACTCAAGGACGAATCTTCCTGACTCCAGCTCCATTACACCATTCACTGTGTCGGGCTGCTTTCTGCCTCATAGATGCTCCTAAATTGCAGCATGAGAGATGGGAACAACCTGTTTTAAAGTGATATTCTATTGGGTGGAGGTGGTGATAGCCAACTCTAACGGGGAAGGCTGAGTTTGATGGATTATGGATAGCTTGAGTTTGAGTGTTCTGTGCTGCAGCAGGATTAAAGACATCAGGTATCCCCACTAAGTTGGGAACCAGTAGGTTTATCCCTAGGGAGCAGAGGGCCACCCCGCTATGTAAAGAGGGGTGCACCAACCTAGGTCAGAGATGGAGTAAGTGAAATCGCCCTTTGGGATCAGTAGTGGGCTCTAGCCTGGGCCAGATAGGGAGACTCAGGTTAATTAATAGATAAATGGATAGAGTAGTTCTTTAAAAAAAAAAGTACTGTTTTAATATGGAGTCCCAGAAATGGGTCTTCTCAAGAAGATGGGCAGTAACTATTTCTAAAGGAAAACTTGACTAATTCTAAAATGCACACCTACTTTTTAAGGGG